TGTGGCCATGCATGTGCAACCGTGCCGACGTGAGTGCGCAACTCCGCGGCCATGCGTGAAGACGTCCCACGACAATTCATGTGCGACTATGCGGACGAGATTGTGCAACTCTGTGTCCATGCGTGTGCGACTATGCCGGCGAGAGTGTGCAACTCCGCGGCCGGGCGTGAGAACGTCCCACGATAATTCATGTGCGACTATGCGAACCAGATTGTGCAACTCTGTTGTCATGCATATGCGACTGCGCCGATGAAAGTGTACAACTTCGCGGCGGGGCTTGAGAACCTTCCACAACAATTCATATGCGACTATACGGACTAGATTGTGCAACTCTATGGCCATGCATGTGCCAATTAGGACTATTATGTGTGCAACAACAACTACTGTAGATGCCAACAAAAAATAGTAAACAGTAGATCAACTTAATACAATTGTTTTTTGCCAAAAGCAGCTGATAACAAACAACTATTGGAACCCGTCAACCATGTTTCCAAGGTGATTGAAAATAGCTCCGATGGGGCTGGGCATGGAGGCAGGGGAGCAGAGGAAGGGGAGCATCGCTCAATCTAGAAATGCCACCGGCAGGGGAAAGAAGCTGAGGGGAGAGGATAGGCACGATGTTGGGAGCAGGGAGATGGGGGATGACCAGCGCGGCAGCATAGTAGGAGATGGGGCGGTGACGTATCGGGAGAGAAGACCGTCGAGAGAGGACGAAGGAGACACTACACACATCCGGTGCGCTCGATTCCTTTTTGGATGACCTGTGCTCGCACGAGGTCATCCAACGGTCCCCAGCCGGTCGCTCGATGATGCGAACTCCGATGAGAGTGTGCAACTCTGCGATCGTACTTGACCTACTACCCGACGAGAGTGTGCAACCCTGTGGTCCTACGTGTGCGACTATGTCGCCGCGCGTGTGCAACTCTCACAGGCGTGCGTGAGTTACTATGCTGACAAGAGTATGCAGCTCCATGCCGCGCTGTGCGACTATGATGATGAGAGTATGCAACCCTGTGGTTGTGCATGTGCGACTGTGCTGACGAAAGTGTACAACTCTGCAGCCGCGTGTGTGCGACTATGCCGCGAGAGTGTGCAACTTCGGCAGCTGCCCTACCCAACTACGCGGCAGTCAATGTGCAACTCCAAAAGCATGGTTGTGCAACTTTACACGGTTTTCCGACAACCGTAGAATATTAAAATGTTCAAAAACTTAAGCTGAATATTTGATATACCCACAGATCCATATCAACAACCACAAAACATGAACTGCGTCAAGGGAAGAAACATGCTTTAGTACAAGAGTATTCTCTTCATAGTCTGAATTCTCTTTTTTTTAACACCTCATAATCTGAATTCTTGGTTGTGCAGGAACTGTAATCCACTGAAACTACCTAGTGTTGGAAGTTGGGCATTTCGATGATCACCACGTTGAGCCGTTAGCGGGTTCGTGTAATCAAGAAACCCAGAAATCAGGCATAGAAGATCCCTTTGCCTCCATCACTAACCCCCTCTCTGTATTAGTATCTTTGCAAAGCTCCAAAGCACGATATATGAAACTGACGCATATAATGGCGTCCATGGCGTCCAACACTCTGCACGGCCGGCTGGTGACTCCTCTTGCTGTCGTGGTTGTCGGGAGGTTCGCCTCCCTCTTCTCAGCCTGTGCCATGCTCGCCGGCACGCCCTTCTCTCACACACATCTCAGTGGCCGCCGTGGTCGGGAGCGTCAAAAATTGAGGGCAACCCAGTCTGGGATTATACCGTCCTCCATGGCCAACAACGCCACAGCAGCCCGGCCGTCTAGTTGCGCTTCTTCCCGCGCTATACCCCGGTGCACCAGCACAGCGACCCGCTGTTCGCCGCGGCCTTCCCGTCGACTTGGGGCAGCGGGGCGTTCGACCAGGGGTGGCGGCGCGGGTTGATCTACAGCAGCGGAGGATGCGGTGGACCAGCGGCAGGAACGGCTAGGCAGAGGGTGCGCCGGCGACTACGCCGACTGCCATGGCGCCATGGTTGCTCGCGAGAGAGGGGAAATCAGGGATGGGTTGGTCGTTCGGGCCGCAGTGGGTCTTGTCGCAGAGCGGCGAGCAGCCAGGCACGCGTGAGGATACGGGCAAAATCGAGCGGACAGGAGCCAGCCGCTCGTTTTGCCCAAATAATGCGTAAGCACTTTTTAGATTTTAGGATAAATGAATGCGGAGGAAGGAATGCGGTCATTTTTTTGTCGTGCAAAAATACAACCGATCAAAGCAGTTGGAACGTCGTCTGGTGGTTCCAAGAGTCACGGCAATCCCCGCAAAAAAAAGTCACGGCAATCAGATGCCTTGGGAGTTTTTTTCCGATAAACTTCTTCCCCCTTATTCATTTATAAGTAAAGTAGCATCGTTTTGGTATTAATTAGAGCTAGCCATTGGACGCAATATATGCGTACCGTGGAGACATTGTATGTTCAATGTGACTCTGTGCACATGGTCATGGTATGGCACGTTCCACTAGATGAGGTATGAGTCACGGCTCTTCCTATTTTGACTTTTAACAAAATACATAAAGGGTATCTGATTATGGCGTGACAACCAGCATCATTAACTGGCATTTGTAAATACTCGTGATAATTTATATGATATATGTGCTTTTTTGAAGTTACATGCATGAATAAAATGACTGTGGATTGCAAACCTCTTAGACTCACCTAAAATAACCCTAAACAAAGACTCACCTAAAATATGTGACGAACATGCTACTACATAAACTCATTATAAAGCAAAGTAGAACCAAACACATTTCAAATGTAGCTATTTCTTTTGAACATATATGACACCATATACCATGCATAACTTGAGCTTTTTCCATGCCTTATGAATGGTGCTTTCTTTTTTCATATAGAATTGCCTATAAATTCAGAGACGACATTAAAACTTCCTAATGAAAAAAATATATTTTTCATCATGATGAGGACATGACTACCTTGGATACGACCAAAAATATTGCATACATGCATATTTGTCAGGTGATTTCTAATGCAAACTATTCAATAATCTATTTATGTTATCCAGAACAAAAATACTTCACACACTTTTGTGTTTTGTCTAATTGCAGGTGTGTGGGACATTTGTATAATTCACATATGAAGATAAGGGAAAAGGAGAAATTTATGTTGTGTTCAAAAAGTCCTCTCACGTCACTTTTGGGCCAAGAGAAGATAGAGTCCAAGTCTTTCACGTTCTGGATTCAGATTCGGACTGCACAGACATACCTGACTCAAAACGCCAACAACTTTTTCATACGGACTCCGAATTGGGTGATTCTTTTTTTTGTTGGAAACTAGATTTCGTGCTCTTTCCAACCCAATTGGATTCACCTTCAAATTCGTCCGGAGCGTTGAGTTACGGACGAAACAATCTGACGTTGCAGCAGAATCCGAGTCAAACTACAAGCCCAAAGGTGTTGCATCACCTCCACTTGGGCCCATGAGCCTTGTACGACCTAGGGTTAGTTTTAGGCTGCCTTGGGACGTCCTCCCACCTTCTTGGCCGCCACCCCTTGCTCCTATATAAGTAGATCCATCTAGTAGCTTTTTCCTGGGGATTTGTTTAGTTAAAAGTTAGCCATTGCAACTTCGTGTACTTCGTTTGTGTCCAACGACCAGACCAAGACCGCTTACGGATCCCCACCATTATCAATACCTCATATATATTTGCAATATTCAGATTGCTTTATCATATTCTTGCTCGTTCTTCGATTGCTTGCAGGAATAGACCTTCGTGGTCAGGCTGACCGTGCTTCCGGCATCGTCAGTAACCTCAGGAGATTGGTTTAGCGATTTCTAAGGCGCAACGTCGTGCACGTTTGTAGTCGGATCGTCAAAGTCGTCTCCACCAAATCGATAGTTATCATCTCATCGAAAGATCGGGACACCCTCGCCTCTATCACATCATGTGGTATGCATCATGATTACAAAATATGGAGTGTATTTGGATTCATATTCTCTCAAGTCCATCAGATGGTGGCATCTATCTGCAAAGTAGGATGTCGAAGTAGGACGTGACAACCGGGACCACAAACTTGTATTTGTAAACACTAATGACATTTCTTTACCTAATATTAAAGGACGGATTGTTTCTCCATCTTTCTTGGTTCAATTAGTCTTTTTCGTACGCCCTTCATCAGTTTTAGTACGTTTTCGCCTGACAAAAATATATTAAAGTAGCAGCCAAGAATCGAACCCTAGCCTGCTGGTTAGAGCCTGACGTGGAGCATCCTACGATCATCCCCATGTACACTCAAGCATACGCCATTGGACTCAAGGTGAACCCGTTCCTAAATGCTTCCCCTTCCCACTCGTGCGAGACATGATTGCTACCTAATGTAAAGACACTACGTTTGCTCAGGAACCGAGGAGACGCCCATGGAGATGCTTGAAGCATAGGACAAGTCCACACGGAAGCGGATCGGGAAGTGCCTCAAGTGGAGTCGTCGTGGAGCTACAGCGGCCAGACATCCGGCAAGAGCCCGGACATCCGGCGCCACCAACCAGAAGAAGACCAAAGAGAGACAGACGCCAGGCGACTCTACAGCGGCCGGACATCCGGACAACCCCCGAACATCTGGCGCCCTGCAACGGGCCGGACATCCGGTACCTGCCCGGAAATCCAACGCCCCCTATCCTGAGAGCACCGAGGCCGACCTCGCCAGCCCGGACATCCGGCCCCCAGCCCGGACATCCGGCGCCTGTCTGCGCACAGTGAACGGGCCAAGGGCCCATGTATCCCTCTTCCCCACTTACCCCTTCGTGGCTTAGACTATATATACTCCCCCACATCCTTCTAGTTAGGGTTAGCGTTGTGTTAGCTCATTTGTGAGATAGAGCTTTGCTCATCCATATCGGATCTACTCCTTGAGAGAGACCGCGGCCCCTCTTCGGAGAAGATCCACGTTGGATGCTGATAGAGGCGAGGGTGTCCCGATCTTTCGATGAGATGATAACTATCGATTTGGTGGAGACGACTTTGACGATCCGACTACAAACGTGCACGACGTTGCGCCTTAGCAATCACTAAACCAATCTCCTGAGGTTACTGACGATGCCGGAAGCACGGTCAGCCTGACCACGAAGGTCTATTCCTGCAAGCAATCGAAGAACGAGCAAGAATATGATAAAGCAATCTGAATATTGCAAATATATATGAGGTATTGATAATGGTGGGGATCCGTAAGCGGTCTTGGTCTGGTCGTTGGACACAAACAAAGTACACGAAGTTGCAATGGCTAACTTTTAACTAAACAAATCCCCAGGAAAAAGCTACTAGATGGATCTACTTATATAGGAGCAAGGGGTGGCGGCCAAGGAGGTGGGAGGACGTCCCAAGGCAGCCTAAAACTAACCCTAGGTCGTACAAGGCTCATGGGCCCAAGTGGAGGTGATGCAACACCTTTGGGCTTGTAGTTTGACTCGGATTCTGCTGCAACGTCAGATTGTTTCGTCCGTAACTCAATGCTCCGGACGAATTTGAAGGTGAATCTAATTGGGTTGGAAAGAGCACGAAATCTAGTTTCCAACAAAAAAAGAATCACCCAATTCGGAGTCCGTATGAAAAAGTTGTTGGCGTTTTGAGTCAGGTATGTCTGTGCAGTCCGAATCTGAATCCAGAACGTGAAAGACTTGGACTCTATCTTCTCTTGGCCCAAAAGTGACGTGAGAGGACTTTTTGAACATAACATAAATTTCTCCTTTTCCCTTATCTTCATATGTGGATTATACAAATGTCCCATACACCTGCAATTAGACAAAACACAAAAGTGTGTGAAGTATTTTTGTTCTGGATAATATAAATAGATTATTGAATAGTTTGCATTAGAAATCACCTGACAAATATGCATGTATGCAATATTTTTGGTCGTATCCAAGGTAGTCATGTCCTCATCATCCTCCCCTTTTTGAAAACAAAGCCATCCTCGGCGTTGCTTAATCTGAAATGTGGCTAACAAAAGAGACAAGGTGTACATGTTGTATATGTATATGTCATCCAGTTTAACTTCCTTTGATTTTTGCACGTATGACACATGTATACATGAGTAACTTTCATAGTTCATAAAAAGTAAAGCCAAAAAATTATCACAAGAAGTAGAAGGCATGAAAATATTAGAACTCGATTTGCACATATAAGTGAAGCTCTTATTCATTTCAAAAGATTCGCAATGTTCATCATTAAACCATCCCAACTTTGATGAATAAACCTCACTTGCATCAAATTTACATGCTACAACATGCTTAAATAAGCAAACATGCAATAAGTCATTGGACACAGAATCATCACCAAGATTGGAGGCCATATCAAAATGATTAAACATTAGTTTTTTTTGCATCAACAGTTAATTCAATGGGTGCACTCAAAATTATTGATATTTCAGTTGTTTGATCACATGACGCATTCATGACAGTAACAAGATTCTCTAAAATAGGTGGTGTGCTCAAATCAACAGGTAACTCAATACATGACGCATTCAAGTTAACTAGGCATGCATCATTCTCATGTGAAGTTATATCATCAATACCTTTACTATTACCTTGTGGCAAAGATGTAGCTGATGTAGGTACGGACATTGACAATGTACCATACCCTTGAGATGATGCCGCGCTCATAATCCGAGGTGCAATGATGGAGGAACCCACTGGCGGTGGTGAGCATGAACTGGAATAGTAGTTGTCGTAGTCACCTAATGCATCCTCCTGTATCTGTCTCTCAAAGGTACAGGCACGGACATACATACCAGTAATGCAACGAGGAATATACTGAAATCTTGCCTGAATATTATGGTTCAAACCACCAAAAAATCTATTCATTATATCATTCTCAGATTCTTCTATGTCACAATGATGCATATAAGATTTGAACTCTTGGTAGTAAGCATGAACAGTGTTGTT